TTGTTACGAACGCAACACTAAGAAAGTAATTGAAACAAACACAATGAAAAACGTATCCAACTTTAGAACGAAATCTACTTCAATTGAATAACGAAAGAGACGTAATTCAATTCAAGAAATTCAATACAGGCTATTTCAGTTATTCGTGGTAAAGATAAATTTAACAAATTTTTCATTCAGTTCTAAAGGATATTGTAAAGAATAATCGAGATATTTTACAATTTGCAACTCTATAGCAAACTCTAATGCAATTTGTCTGAAATAAACATTCTCTTACAGATCCAATACAAAACGCGGAATCTTGATTAATTCATAATTCTAATTAATAATAATTTAATTTCTCAAAACTCTAAGATAAAATCGCGACTTGCTCAATGGTAGTAGACCTATATCAGCCACAAAGAAAAAAAAGTACTACTAACACATGCTATAAATTCTAAAATCGAGCATAGCGATAAAATAGTAACAAGTGTCTTCCCATGATTTAGATGGACTTCCCATCCAGAGGGTGATGAGCCATTTGTTACAGCCCTCTTCTATGGCTGGTCCTTTTTTTTTCCTTCGGGCGCGATGCCCGCTGAAACTTAAATCTAGGCCCAAGTCTTTCTAATCGCGAAACCAAAAAATAACTTATACAGATGACATGAAAAGATAAATCGCAAAAGCTGCTCCTAATACACATGGACGACCATCGATCATAGTTATGGTTGTCCGTTCGCATGCGCGTGCTCGAGCAATACTCATACATAAGTACGTTTCGGGACCTACCCACGACCTATCCGCGATCGAGATCGCTACACTAAATTCGAAAAAACGAAAAGTAAAATCAGAAACGGGTGGCTCCATCTGTACCAATTTCATTGTCGATTGTTCTAATTGCGTTTCCAGAAACAGGTTGGACACGCAAAAATGTAACGCGCGACCAGGAACTTTCTCTATTTTTTTTTTTTTTTTAATGTGGAGGAAATCTTCAAAGGACACCTGACCTCCTGAGGAGGGGGGGGGGTGTCAGATAGTGCCGGATTTTTATCGACTAAAACCTCCACGATTGCCTACCTCTTGCGCTTAGAGGTGGGGATAGCTCAGTTAGGGATAGAGCATCAGACTCTCAATCTGAGGATCCAGGGTTCGAGCCCCTGTTCGGGCGAAAAAAAAGACATTGTCCTTTAGGACAACAGTACGGGAGAGCTCTGTGTGCATAAAAAGTTCCCGGATCTCTTCCAACTTGCGAAAGACGGCCATCGTGGAAGTTATAGTTGGTAAAAACCGACACTACCTTGGGTTTTCCCTTAAAAGGCTCAAGTGTCTTATGAAGATTTCCTCCAAGTAAAAAAAAAAAACCGCTTGCGCTTGGGAGGCAACGCCGGGAATCTCCAGTGGATCACGCGGCCGCGTCTCTATCTGCGTCTTTGACTTTCGGCCCAGCCTTCGGAGGGGAAGCGAGGTCCTCTCACACATACTATTATGGATAAATTAGACTCCGGGGACCATTTCCAGTGTCGAACCTCCTTGGGGTCGTTTACTTGCTGGAAACGGACCCAGGAGGGGGGGGTCGAATAAGCTGACTTGCATCAGTGCTCCGCTCCGATTCGACATAGGAACTTACAAAAGCATACATGATCGGTGAGCACCTGTGTTACGCGATTCGTTTGCTTCCAGCTTCCGATTCCTCCAGCTTTGCTTTCCATTTCCGCAGAGTCCCGGTCTGTCTTCCGCAGATTGCCGATTTCTTCTTTCAGCGGCGGATTGTCGCCTTGTATCAGTCTCCATAATCGGCGGTAGACTTTGGCGTCTGCCGCAGCCTGAAGGTCGAGGTGAATCATTCCAGCAAGAGCTATGTCCGCCTGAAAAGATTCCGATCGATACGCACGCACAGCTCTGATGGCCATGACGCGCTGTATCCGATGCAGTATTTATCTTCCTTTCTTCTTTTGACCCTTAGACCAGATTGGGTCTCCGTACAGAGCTATGAAATTTACCACCCCTGCATTGATGTGGCGGACTTTGACTTTGGGCCCACGATGTTCGGTAGGATTTTGCCAAGGAGTGCGGTAACCCGCTCTATCCTCGGCGCGAGTCGTTGGAAATGTACCTCGAAGATCATCCGACCGTCCAGCATAAGCTCGAGATAATTGATGGTCTCTTGGATGCGTATTCTCTTTCTATCCACCATCAGCTTTGGACCGGTCTTCTTGATAGGGGAAGACTGTGGCGCCACATCGCCTCAATCTTTTCCACAGCCCTACCTGGCGAATCCCTGTCGTGACCGCTGCGACTCCCGCTTTCGGGAAGTCTGAGTGCCTGCGTCCACTCCCTTCCGCGTGCGACCAGGTACTGTGTCAAACTGCCCGGTCCTACCTATACATAGTTAAAGACATTCACACCAGAATGTATGCTACCTATTCTAACTATTCGGACTATATTTAAAAAATAGCAAAACAGACACTCCAACACATACACTCTACGGTTCTTACACATACACCTGGGTACCTACCCTACAGAGGTAGTCCTGGGACGCCTCCGACACCCGAGTGTTGCAAACAACATGCACATTATAATTTACGTATATTTGCTTTCTTCTGAAATGGACTAACAAAGGCTAGCGACCATTGCGCAAAATATAATAATGCATTATGTATTATTTTTGAATAAAATGCTTGTATATTTCTATTTTTAATCAATTTTAATTAAATATTAATCTTCATACATAGTGTACATATTCATAGTATTTGAAATAAGTAATAAGAAATTGATAATTATTAAATACTGTTTGGACTAATAGTAAAAACTACGTCATTTCACATCCTAACCGTATAAATATATATATCATAGTAATAGAGAGATCAGAAATGAATAT